CACCAGAGGTATTGATTTGTTATGGGAACGAGGAGGACTTTGAGACTCGATAGATTTAACGTGCATCAGTCACCATTTACTACACAGAGAGTCTTCGACCGGCTGGGATCAAGCCCACGAACTGTTGGACATGGCCCTAGTGCCCTACCAACCAGGCTATCCCGGCCTCATCTTATAGATATAGTTTTGACCCGGACGTGATTTGAACACGCGACCTTATGGTCTTGAATTTACTGAGGAGAAGGGGAGTTGAAAGGGGAAAAGATCAAAATTCACTATGTAATCAAGTAAGATAAATGTTTCCTGTGTACTTTTTTACGCTGAATCAAATGGAAATAAATCAGTTAGATAAGACTAATAGTTTAGAAGTTATAAGTGATTTATTTAATAAGTATGAAATATAAAAAAGCACAATATTTCCTTGAATCTATTTAAGCGTCCTAAACTCTTACCTGAACATATGAAGTATTTTTTATCATATATTTGTTTTGCTCTGCGTTGCGGGAAACCGAAACAAATTCGCTTGGATTTATGATTCAAAAGTTATTTAGGATTTCATATCAAGTACAGTTTGGGACTTGTTTGAACTCTGGACTGATTGATCTGAGCTGACTCTGATCTGGATCGACTCCGATTTTGAGCTTGTTTGTTTTATTTACAAGTAAAGTAATATAACTAATAACAAAGGACAAACTGATGAAGATATACATCAAATAGATTAAGATGCTTGATGAAGCGTTTACGCTATTCTCAGTAGATTCTAGAAAGACAAGATCATAACTAACTCTGCAAAAATTTTGAATTTTCGACATTAATTTTAAATCTGTCCTACTCTATGGGTCTGAGCACTGCCATATGATGGCACTGCCATGAAAATAATATGAAAACTTTAAGTATTTCTTAACAGTTTTAGAAGAATCCTACGTATCAAATAAACTAAACTCAGCGGCACGACAGCCCATAGAGGGCCAAGGCCTACTGTGCCCATCTCAGTTTTCTTGACCTTGGGCTCTGGGGTGCCGGAGCAGATGTTCCGGTTAGGTGGTCAGCCGAACACGAAACCCCCAGTGTTTAGTTCCCAAGCATTCTCCAAGCAAATATTTTCTTATCATTTCAACAAGGTAATCATTCGTGTTTGTGTTACTAAAGGCTTTTAGATTCTGTTCAGTTTAGTTTGGAAGATAGATTATTTATTATAAAGCTTATCCAAATGGAGTCCCCTGTAGTAATCACCTTTTGCATTTGTGATTCAATGGTTACATTTCGTAAACATCATTGTTAATTTAATGATGAAATGTCCCTTGTAGTAATCACCTTTTGCGTTTGTGACTCAATGGTTACATTTTGTAAACATCATTGTTAATTTAATGATGAAATGTCCCTTGTAGTAATCACCTTTTGCATTTGTGATTCAATGGTTACATTTTGTAAGCATCATTGTTGATTTAATGATGAAATGTCCCTTGTAGTAATCACCTTTTGCATTTGTGATTCAATGGTTACATTTTGTAAACATCATTGTTACTTTAATGATGAAATGTCCCTTGTAGTAATCACCTTTTGCATTTGTGACACAATGGTTACATTTTGTAAACATCATGGTTAATTTAATGATGAAATGTCCCCTGTAGTAATCACCTTTTGCATTTATGATTCAATGGTTACATTTTGTAAACATCATTGTTAATTTAATGATGAAATGTCCCTCGTAATAGATACCTTTAGCTTTTGAGACTCAATGTCGACCGTTAAAATTAAATTTGTTTCTTTCCTCCGATTTGTTTTAAATTCAATCTTCTCTCTCTCTTTCAATCAAAATAGGTCATGATGAAAAAAGTTGTAATGTTGATGGGGAGCTATTTCAGACCGGTGAAGAATGGAAACCCAATTCGTGTTTCTCGTGTTTTTGTAACAATGGACGTGTCTCTTGTAGAAAAACACAGAGGAGATGTAACGACGAATGGTTTAGCATGAACATTTCAAAAAGAAAAATAAGTAAATATTTATTCTAATTTAACTGTTTGTTTTAATTTAAAATTACGAAAATTATTACATTTTCATTGCTCTGTTTAATTATTTTAACGTACTATATTATTTTTTTATTCCCCCCATCCGTATTTTTAGTGTATTTCAAAAATTCAACTATGAATTCAATTTACCTGCACATAAAAACCCCTAAATACAAATTTTGAAACAAACTTTATCGAAATACTAATTTTGGCCACGAAACCTAGGATGCTAGCCCACTGTGGAATGAAGAGATTGCCCTACGGGCTAGGTACTTAGAAAAATAATGTTTAAATCGGAAATTCGGTCTGAGAAAAAAAGTAGATATTGTTGAATAGTTTGAGGAAGAGAATTGATTTATTCCTCCCGAAAACAAGTTAAAACTGAAATGGTTTTACTACCAGCTTTTCCGTCTCGCTTTCATTCATTGATCTATCTGAAACTTTTGTTAGAAGTTTGAATATGTTCTTTTTGCGGCCATATATGTTGTGTCTCTCCCATCCAGGCCTGAAAGCGATATGGAAAATAGAAATACTGGTAGAAAAACTATTTCAATATTAGATAATATTCGGGAGGAGTTAATTTATTCTCAACATGTAAGGAAATTTACCACGTCATTTCATTTATTAACAGAAAACTGGGCACCTGGGCCGCGCAGCGGCCCCTATCCCATACATCATGAATTTAAAATACATTGTGTGAAAACATTTTGATTTTGCAGCATTATGGTATGCAATGATAAAAATTAAAAAAAGAGAAAAATATAAAAAAAGAGAAAAATGAAATTTACCACGTCGAAGAAGCAATTCAATATAAAAATTGCATCCGTTAAAAACAATTGGTAGTTATGGATTTTTATTATTCCCGGAAAAAATCAAAGGAATCAAAGCAAAGTTTGCATCAGCTCTAATTTCACCGCATTTACTTTCACCATATAAAATTTTGACCCATTTACATCCATCGATCAAATTTCACATCACTTACACCCAACTGTTAAATTTTAGCCCCATTTACAATTAACAGCTCTAAACTGGTTTACTCGTACCTGCTAAATTTTTGCCCCATTCGCAAGTACCAGCTAAAATTTTATTTCATTTAGAGATTCATCAGTACATATTGCATAGTGAATGATTCGAATTACTCTTTTTAATTAACCAATAATTAATTTAACCGAACTACTAACTCCACAGGGCTAGATCAGAGATTCCATCTGATCCGCATTCGACAAAATATTTTTAAAAACGATAGAGATACTACAAACTGAGATATACAGATTTTCGTTCAATTTTGCCAACTTTCTTAATGGTTTAACACGGCTAACTGTAACAAAGCGGCGTATCACATAAACCTTTAAATTACTTAATAGTAGAGACAGTTTAAATCGAATTAGCTAAACTAAATCAACACTATTCGAAGAAAGTTAGCACCTAGAAAACAGACTCTAAATAACAATAACCTTTGGAATGTGATTGACATATCTATGAATAGAAAAATGGGTTTTACTTTAAAGCTTACATTTTTTATTTGTAGTGGTAGTCAAAATAATTGTAAATTTTTTAAATGATATGATAAAGTAGGAAGTAATTTTTATAATTTAAAGGTACCAATCCATGTGTCGAAAGTAACGGAGGATGTGAACACTATTGCGAAGCAGGGTACGGTGGAGTTAATTGTTATTGTCACGAAGGATTCGCACTTGACCAGGATGGACGTTCTTGCAATCGTAAGTTTTCTTCATTCTGACGTTTTTTTCCTTAAAGTCTTCTTCTTCTTTAGTTATGCTAACTGGACACCTAGGCAGCTGATATTATATTATAAGTGTTGGAACTTATTTATAGACGAAACCTCGAAAGTTGACTAAAAATACATTTTCCATAAGTCAACTTTGTCAAATATGAAATTTTGCCCTCAATAGGATTTATTAAATATAAAATAGAAGGTTCGCCAAAAAATATGAGAGTATTTTGCACGATGTAAAAGTAGAACTCTTTAAAATTAACAGTTTAAAGATACTTCCAATATTTTAGCTAAGTAATATGTTTTTCAAATCGAAATCTGGAGATGAAATTTATATGATAGGAGATGGGAATAATAAAATGGTAGAATGGTGGAAATCATAAATCTCGGTGCGCATTAACCGATTCATCTGTAGTAGTAAATCGATGATGAGGTGGAATGGAGATGGGGGGAAGAGGTGGTGCTTAGCACCAAAAATCGAGAGTGTATTTCGTGTGCTAGGGCTACGTCATATCCCTAAGGAAAAAGGCAGTGATTGGGCTAAATTTAGTGTTGTCGTCAATTAATTCAATATCTAGGAGTGAGTTAAAATTGCTGGTGGTACAGGTTTTTGCTTCATCGTAGAAATTTTGGTTTAAATTTTTTATATAGACGTTGATGTCATCAATTTTAAGATCCCTNAGTGTTAATGGCGGGGCAGGCATAGGTTAGGATTGGCCTAATTGCCATTAGATAGAGAGCGCGCTTGCATTTTAAGTCTAAAGATGACTTCCAGTTTAATATGGAGTTGAGGGCCCAATAGGCACCATTCGCTTTTTCAATAATTTTATTTATGTGTTGTTTCCAACTTAAATTAGAGGTGATGGTGACTCCTAGATATTTTGCACTCTTTGTGGGTTTAATGATCTGCGTGTAGAGGACTATATCAGGAATAGTTCTACCTTTCTTTTTACTATTGAAAATAATCATTTGGCACTTATCCGGGTGTAGTTTTATCTTCCATTGTGAGCACCATTTTTCGATATTGTAGATCTTCTTTTGCATGTATTTGAAGGCTTGTAAATGGCTCATAGATTTCGTGATAATTGCTGTATCGTCGGCATATAGGGCTGTGAATTCGTTTGGATTATCGTTATTAATAGGGAAGTCAGCTGTGTATAAGATGCATAGTAGTGGCCCGAGGATTCTACCTTGGGGCACACGGGCTTGAATGTTTTTATAAGCTGAGAACGAGCTATCGATTTTAATTCTGAACTTTCTATCAGTAAGGAAAGAGTTAATTAAAGTAATAAGGTCTAATGAAATATTCATTTTATGTAGTTTTACGATATGTCCCTTATGCCATACTCGGTCGAAGATGGGAATAATAAATGTTGATAATAAAATATTACAAAGATATACAAAATATTACATGCTGGTGGTAAAATATTTTCTACATTATTAGCACTACATTTAATATACACACCAGCGCGAAAAATATTTTATTACATTTATTAAAAATAGGAATAAATGTATATAAATGAGTGTTAATTTTTGCAAAATTTTTTTTTAATTACATATATTTACCCTCTTTAAAAATACTATACAAACTCACTTTTGGTTTCTTTCATGAAATCAGATTTCATAGTTTACACATATTCTGTAAACATGATCGAAAATTATTAACTCAAAAGCAAATTATTTCACAGCAAATGTTATTTTGACTTGAAAGAAAAGGAAAAATTATTATGTATATTATTATTTTATCAAATAAGTTCATTGAGAGTTTTAATTTTTATGTTATATTTCTTACAAAGAATACACATCATCTGAACTATTACTATTTATGTGTGAATCCATTTTAAAAGTCAAATTAGAAAATTTATTTCCTTGTGCATCATATCGTATCACATATACATAACCTGGGGCAAAACATTTTTATGTTTACTTGATTAACAGATTTTTCGGCATGCACATTATATGTTTTTTTTTCTTTCATTTTTTTATATCAAACACTGGAACACAAGGAACAATGTTCTAGGAAATGATTATAATTTTTTCATTAATCATCTACCTATATTCAGTAGAATTATGGAATTTTTATTAGTAAAGAACATTTTTCCAATTTGTATTTCACGAAAGAACTACAAATTGTGTTCGTAATGTAAAACTGTTTTCTAATTGTAAATCATATACACTATTTTCCTCATCTAAGACTTATAAATTTCTTTTCTAATGTAAGACTTATAAACTGTTTTCTTAATGGAAGACTTAGAAATTGTTTTCTTTACGCAAGATTTAAAAATTATTTTCCAAATAAAATAAAAATGTTTTTCTAATTAGAACTCTAAATTGTTTTTCTAATGTAAGATTTGAAAAGCATATTCTCCGGATTTATAACTTACAAAAGAATTACAAATTGTTTTCGTAATGTAAAACTGTTTTCTAATTGTAAATCTTATAAACTATTTTCTTCATCTAAGACTTGCAAATTGTTTTCATAATGTAAAACTGTTTTTTAATTATAAATCATATAAACTATTTTCCTATTCTAAGACTTACAAATTGTTTTTCTTATGTAAGATTTATAAACTGTTTTTTTAATGGAAGACTTACAAACTGTTTTTTTTTACGGAAGATTTAAAAATTGTTTTTCAAATATTTTTCTGATAATAGAAATTACAAATGGTTTTTCTAATGTAAGACTTGAAAAGCATGTTTTCCTAATTTATAACTTACACATTTTTTAAAGCAAGACTGAACATTTGCAAATGGTTTTCATACTGCAGAACTTAATAAATTGTTTTCATAATAATAAGGGTATGATGCCTGTAAAGACGAGAATGGGGGCTGTCAGCACAATTGCCATTTGCAGGACAAAGTTGCTCAATGTTCATGTCTCGAAGATTACATTCTTCAGGAAGACGGAAAATCTTGTGATCGTAAGTTAAATTTTTTCATTCTATGAATAATTCATAAATTATCATGCAACGTCAACTAACCGAAAATAATGAGCTGTGTATTTTAAGACTGTTAACGCACTAAGTGCAAAAAAGAAAAATAAATAAAAGAAGAAAGAAAGTGAACTCGATAAATAACATTGGGGAACGAATTTCTTGTCTTGTTGCATTGTTACAAGTTTTCTTCGGAAAACTACATATCTTTTTCAAAATAAGATTTTTTTCGTTTACCTCTTTTTTTTGTTGGCCATCAACATCACAAGAGCTTACAGAACCACATCGACCGCTGCCCTGCAGATTTTAGCCGGCACAGTCCCCCTGGATCTAATAATTAGAACAGAAGCACGAATTTCAAACATCTACCTACATGGTGAATCCATTATTAACAAACAAGAAATCCCAATCGAACACCCAGCAGAACACACCATTATTCCATTTAACTTTGAACCCCCCACAAATAGACAGGTTGAAATATATACAGATGGGTCGAGGATGATCGTTAATGAAGAATACAGGGTGGGCTGTGCATTCGTCATCTTTTTAGAAGGGATATTAATAGATAGCTCATGTTTTAGGCTCAGTAACCAATCAACAGTTTTCAAAGCGGAGCTCTGGGCGTTGCTTCAGTCTTTCCTTTGGATTAAACAGAACAATATTCATGATGAAATCCACATTTATTCTGACTAGCTCTTCAGTCTACAAGCACTAAATAACTCAAACGATTTAGATTATACAGTAAAGATGATAAAGGACCACTGGATCAAGGCACACGCTGGTATAATGGGCAACGAGGAGGCTGACAGACTAGCCAAACTGGCCTGTAGCAACCCGAAAATAGAACTTGTTGATTTTCCATCTAAACGTTCAGTCCGGCTTTCTTTCCTAAACGAAAATTTAGAAACATGGCAACAAAGATGGAACGACCCGGAAAATCAGGGACGATTCAGCCACAACCTCATACCCACGGTTAACCATAGGAAAATCCAATCAAACTTATTCATCAATCAGTTTTTGACTAACCACGGAACCCAGGGTAGTTATCAGGCCAAATTCCATAATAAGAACATTAATTGCAACTTCTGTAACATACCAGAGGATATTTTCCACATCCTATTAGATTGCCCTGTTCATATGAATACTCGCCAAATTTATTTTCCTGTAAACCTTGGTAAAGCGGGACTCAAACAGCATTGGAAACTACCTCGAATATCAGAGGGAATTGCAAACATTATTAAACTACATTTTTTCGAGAAATTACATTAATGGGCTTAGACCTGGGTTTCTCCTGACTCACACCATTTTACTAATTTAATAGCCAAATATGAATTACCTGAATCTCCCTGATTATATATAACAGGATCAACAATCTTGATGTCATAAATTCATCTGTATATTTTACATATTCATCATATGAACCCTTGTTTGCATGGGTATCACTAATTGTCTTGTTGTATCACTATTTCAAATTGTCTCGTATTGCCTATCGTATTGTAAATATTTTAACATTGTATGTGCATATTGTATCGTTGCCTTTGTCAAACCCTATATTCTTGTCTATAACTGGCTTGTTATTGCTATCACCACTTACACTTCTTCACTGCATGCTCACTTTAATTTTAAAATTCATGTCCCTCATTGTATGTATACAAAGTCGAATCAATCGCTTTTTTCTTCTGGATTTGTTATTTGATGGGCAGGAGATGTACATAGGTTGTGTTTTGTACATGTCATGCTTTGCATATTTTACATAAATTTATATTTCCGAGTGCCCTTATACACATGAATCTCACCAACTTCCTGTTGCATCACTATATTTAACTATCTTGAATTGTCTCAACTTAGTGATTGTACATATCGCTAAATTTAACCATCTTGAATTGTCTTAATTCATCAACTGTACATATCTGCATCACTTGTTGTACCGATACCGTCTTGTTTTCAACAAATTGGTTTTGGAACAATCAATTGAGGTCCTCACGATGTGATTGACCATCAATCAAACCCAAATTGTATGTATATTCTTTGGATAGTGTAATATTGTTTTGTGTACAGTGTGTGCTGCAGGTTACCTTGTATCATGTAAATATTGTCACCAAAAGTTATGTCTCCATGTTGTATACCCTTTGTAAATTCAAATTTATGCTCCTTACTGTGTATCTGCAATGTAAGACCTTACTACCTTCTGGATGTTCATTTACTTGATGTATTTTCCTGATGTCACCTGATTTTTCTCCGGCTACTGCCGGACAGTATGTATTGCTTGTTCATTTTTTGTTTTGAATAAATTCTTTGCAGCCTTTTGGTTGGAGGAGGGACGGTAGGTGGTGGTGTGTGGCTGTTTTGCGCGTGCAGCACTCAGACCGGTACCACGGTAAACATCTCAAAATTTTCCATCCTTCCAAGCTTTTCCCTTTATCATCTTTACCCGTGCGGACCCCATTGGTCATCCACCTCCTCCAAATCGCGGGCCCTCATCGACGAGTAGTGTTGCCACATCGTGGCCAACCTCTCTCCAGTGCATCTCTTTTGCTGCGCAGTCACGAATGCGCACAGAGTTACCAGTAATCCCCGTATGCCCCATTTGGGGCGGGGCGGGATTAAGACGACCTTAAGATTATGTTGGTCCATCAATGGAAAACTATTCAAAAACTTTGACATAAGTTCTCTTGCCTTCTTCCATCCATTTAGTTTTGCTTTGCACAGATCTTGGTGCATGTATTTTTGCCAAATAAGTCTCGACCTTTCTCTTTTGCGTTTTCCGTTGGGTGTTCAAATAAGTGCGAAGTTTGCAGGGCTATCCTGTTTTACACGAAGAGAATGTGCAGTCTATTTTCATCTTCTCTTTAAAATTTCTTCATGTATGGATGAGGATTTGGCCTTTATTTGATATAGTATTAGGTTATAAATTTTTTAAAAATAATTCTTAAACATTTTTTCCGGAGTATTTATGGTGCTTCAATTTCAGCTTAGTGGAGGCTGCACTATTCAGCACCATACAAAAGTATGGAGCGAACAAAAAATGTATAATAATACTAAGACGTCAAAATAATCAAACTGTAACAGAAAATATGTAAACAAACGACTTTTATTTTTCAGAAACAAATTAATTTTTTTTATAACTTTTCTTTAACTTTAATGATATCCCCATCTCTTACTATACAATAAGAAATTAAATCAATTAATCGGACCAAAAGAAATTATTTATAAGTTTCTTTAAGACATAATTAAATGACATGGTTCTGAATGCTTATAAAAGTTACAACTAAACCAGAAATGGAACACTTGTGTGGATGACTTGGATTTAAACTTTTAGGATAAAATATAAATGAAATAAAAACAAATATAAAAAAATATATACCCTATATTTAACACACGAAGGCAGAATATAAAAAAAAATGGTAAAACGCACAGGAATTAGTCAAAGTCTAAGAACGCGAAAATTTCAATTTCAATATTAAATTTTGCAGGTAAATTTTACACTAGTTTAATTTCAGCTGTCGCAGAAAGGTCAAAATAGTGCTTTCCTGAGGCGTCGTTCTAAAATCCTGTTTTGATGACGAGAGGTATTTCCAGAATGTCATACATATTTCCTAAGTTGAACGAACCGTTAAATTAATTCCACCACCAAGTTGACGGAGTGAGTTGATGAAATAGTCAAAACAGTCTAGAAACTGGCGCCGAATAAATATTTCAATTTATTTATTGTTTCAAATTATAAGATCAAACANTTAAATTACTTAAAAGCTGTAGTTCTTGGGGAAAAAAATCAAAAAATTGTTCCTTTGTGTCATTTATTGGTTATAAGCAATAAATAATCATATTTATATAATTTTACTCATTTTAATATTTTCGAAAATATTTTAGACCTGAAATATACAATTGTTGAAGACGAAAGCTTAGAGTTTGCAACTCCATCCTACGTGGAAGTAAGTGATGTGAGTAAATTTTAATAATTTAGTGTAATCATAAGCAGAAATTCAATTTTTTAAAAATAAAATGAACTATGTTATACTTCGGAAAATTTATGTTCAAATTTTCAAAAGAAAAAAAAATTGAGGCTAAATTTTTTTGTCATCGTGTTTTTTATTTATAGAAAGTATATCCTAATAAACGTACTTTTTAACATAATTCATTATTTAATTAAAACACGTTAGAAATGACCTAACTAATATGTAACAGCAACTTTTGGCTATTAGCTTGGTCACCTCTTAGAACTATCTTTTACGATATATAAACTTTAATGGTAAACAAGCCAAATGCACAAGGGTGTGAATTTTCTAATTCTTAATCCTTCATCCAATCTTAACACCTTACTTTGATTTAAACAATATTTTAATGAAATTTGTTTCGTCTAACTGTTGCCCATGGCTCTGGCTGTATTAAAGTACTATTTAATTATAACAATTAATTTAATTAATAATATAATTAATTTTAACAATTGTAATTTAAACAATTTTATAGATATGTCCGCAACATTTTCAAAATTCTTTGTGTATAGAATTTCTATGATAATTTAAAATATGCCCGGCAGCCATTAAATTCCACAAGCAACCGTATGTATTTTTCATACATACGGCAGTAGAGAATTGAAATTATTTCCTTCTCTGTTGTTATTGTTCGAAAAAGGCAAGCTTCGTCGCCAATAATTGGTATAACAGTTTGTTGCACCATCTAGCACCATTTATTTCGAATCAGAATTAGTTAATGGTGTCAGTTTTTTTTAATTATTTCATAAGAAACTTACAACACACAAAATGATTTATTTCGCAGTTCCATTTACAAAAATATAAAATATCGATAAAACATCATCGATAAAACTCGAAACACTCAAAGATATAAAATGGCGTAAATATATTAATGCTCAAAAATAAATAAATATAAACTAAAATCCATTGTATTTCTCCTTCACAAAAAAGAGTTAACAATCTCGAAAAAGTAAAACGAACTCTTACAATTTTGCAATTTAATTTTATGAACTAGATCCAATTTAAAAATTAAGCAGACGATAAATTCTCAACACCATTTATGTTTAAAATTCTTACAGCCATTTTAGAAACAAAATTAATCTAAATAATTGGAATATTTATTACCCATTGACAAAATGGGTCTAGGTTTGGATTTGATGGCGTCCACACACTTTTCAACTGTGTTCAAGAGTAATAGTAAACAGTGCGCATGCGTCGTCATTGCATGTGTTGTTATGGCGACCGCTGCAGTTTTTCTTTTTATTTTCACTAGCGGACATTTTTGATGCATTTACATAATACTAATTTAAAGTATTTTAATAGTCTTTTATTATTAACGTTGATTTTAATATAAATATGAATGCTGAAGAAGAAGAAGTATTTTGTGACGTTTTGAAACACGTACATAGGCAGGATATGAAAATCAATCCGACGACAAACATCAATTGAGACAGTTTTCGTCCCCCATGATTTGAAATGTTGTGGCGTTAAACGGAGTCAATCCAGAAAGAAAAAGCATTTGACCATTGGGTAACCAGTGGTCGTAATATGGCGACCGCAACTTTTTTGTTGATTTTTTTTTAATTATTACAATTTTATTCATATTTTTCCAAGTTTTTGTTTCTAAAATTTGTTATTTATTATTAATTTATTATTATTATTAATCTAATATTTATTAATTATACAAAATTTGTTTCTTTATTTCTAAAATGTATAATGCAAAATTATTGGTAGTTTAAAACATCTAGATTTATCTCATCCTTTCTACCAGATCGTAGAAACCCTGATAGCTAGTTTAATTTCCTTTTTAAAAGTGATATGTTGATTTAGATAACTCGCATTTTTTTCTATATAGCTCTTATAAAACTGTTATGCTCTTGAAAAAAAAAAATTATATCTATACATCCCTGGTTTACGCAATTTACCCTCATTTCTCCTCCCCATTTTCACAGTTTTGGAAAATCTTGCTTTTTTTTGCAGTAAATTGCAGTAAAAAGTTGAAATACACTCGCGTGAGAAAAAAAAGAATATATGCTGAAACCATGGAAATAGGGTGGGGAAATGTTTGGAGTGTGGGGAAATCGCGTAGCTTTTAAACATCTATTCCATTTACAAATGGCATAATCTTGTTTATTTTGTATTTTAGAATGAAACTGAAAAAGCTGATTCCAAGGGATTCCCTGAAGTACATGTTCCACCTGGTTTACCTGAAGATGTATATAAACATTTCCATAACTCTATTCAATTAACGCATACTGTCACATTGTATAACACTACTGCTGATACTACTTAATGCCCATTAAATCTTCCTTAACGGAATCATATAACTTGAAAGGAAACAATTTTCTTGTTAACAATTCATTATTCGAAGAGTATTTTGGTATAAAAAGTGTGGCATTGGTACTTATTATTGGTTACAAGTACCGTGAAGTCAGGTTCTCCAATGCTTATAAACAGCGCTAGAATCTGATTGGCATAAGTGACCGATAATACACATGAAAATATTAAATATGATAATATTGCTATCTTTAATGATAACATATACGGCAGCACAAGTGACCGGTTACCGATAATATATGGGCGGAATTCAGCCACTTCTCTACTCCTTGGGCCATTACACAAATTTCGGATGGCATTCTTCCAGGACTTATGGTCACTGCTGACCTTTACAAACTCACAAAACGTAGTTTTCTGAAGGCTCGGATCCAAATATAAATAGTTGTATTATTCATCTATTATGCTGGCGAGAATTATCTAGTTTCTTTAACATAAATCTTAATACTAACAAAATTTTTTAGTTCTTTTAAAGAAGAGGAATTGTCCTTTTAAAACGACGCTAGATTAAAAAAAATCCTAAAATTTTTTTAACTAATAATTTAGAAAGATTTGAGAATGGTGTTATTGGTACTATAAGTCTCTCGAGGTCTTATTGAACCTAGACAGCTGAAAGAATCAGTCAGTTTAGGGCACTTTCATTAATAGAGTCAGTAACAGTTTATAAATGTACTGTATGTAACAGAATCAGTAACAAATTTATATATTTTGCCAGATATTATGTATGGATTTTATTTCTTAAATTTTAAAATTTGAAGAAGTCCACTATGATACACGCTAATCCTTCATCAAAAATTAAAGCATGCTACATATTTTTTTATTGTATTTTTACTTTCGATGATTTTTAGGATGGAAATTAATATCTCAACAATATAAAAAATTCATGAATGTTCATTGTTTCCTTTTTTTAAACCTATCCACAGACATTCAGAGAAACCACTGCATTGCAAAATTAAGCACAAAAAAATCATGCAGAATAAAGTTACACATTTTCAGAAATGCTTTGTAACATTCATAAACTTTTTTCTTCGATTATTGCAATCATTTAATTAAATAAAGAAAAAAAAAGTTTTATTGTCACAAACTCTTAATAAAATTTAAAATTTTTATATACTGAACAAGATTATTGAATAAAATGTGTTTCTATCCATAATACAGTTACGCTCATGGTTTCAAATACTAGCTGCTCAACAAGGATTGGTAACAAAAAATTTACCACCTCCCCATGTATACCAAGTCATCGAACCAAAGGTAATAAACTTTATATTACTGATAATCCATCATATATATATATATATATATATATATNATCGTTTCGTGAAATTCTTCAGAAAGCATTGCTTCTTGAAAAAGTTATGAATTATTCTGTATTCTTAAATATAATCTGATAATATTCGCGAACAAACATTATTCCCAGTGCAGCAACAAGTAAAAAGTAATTTCACAAAAAAACATGAAAGTCTGTCGCCATTTGATGGATGCATTAAAAATAGCTCCTTTTTTGATACAGAACCAATCGAGAAAGGCGGCAGCTCTTCAAAAAACTGCGCCGAAGATTTAATCATTTTAGAACTGTTTGGCAGTTTGGAGATACATTTCAATGAAATAAATCTCAGCTGTCGGAGTTTTAGTTTCGAAAACATAGAAGTGTCGGCAGATGCTGGCGATATGTATGCGCTTTGCTAAAGAAAAAAAAAATATATATAAGAAAAATTCAAGGAAAAGTAGCTAGACAGTGCTTCGCTTATTTATTTGAGTCTCAAACGTGTTCTACGAGGCTATACTTTCATCCAAATATTGATCTCTGGATGATTTTTCCGGAACCTCAGAGAAGAAAACTTGCTTTGAAGAAAATGAAAAATTTAGTTAAAACAAGCATTGCTAGATATGGAATAAATTTATAAATGGACATTTCCAATTTATTTTTAGCAAACGACTTGTTTACATTCTTATTTTTTATATCTTCCAGACAAACGATCGGTATCTAATTCGATTAACTCCATTTTTTGAACGAAGTTAAATTTTATATGATTGAATGTAATTAGTACTTACGCTAGTAATTTTTAATTTTTAATTCTTTATATATTACAATATTACATATATATACGACTACAACAACAACCTATTCTACTGTTTAATAACCTATACGACTTATAATCAATACTTTTCACTGGAATTAATATTACTTTTTTTATGATTAAGTGTATGCTGAGTGCTAATTATATCTTATTTTTTCTCAGTTGGGTACTTGCAACTAATCGCATGGTTATGTCTAATCACGTAGTTGTGCATGGTATGTTAACGTTACAGCTTTAAGACCCATCTCAACAATTATATTTTGGCCCCAGTTGGGCTTAAAATTAACTCCACATGGATTCTATCAATACATGCTACATGCACTAAGGGACCACTATTGGGATGCCTAGGTTTTTTAATATTGGTCCTAGAATGGTCTATATAGGGCCTACATTGACCAACATAGAACCTATATTTTGCTAAATAGTTAAGATAAAATATCGGGGGAATCTGACAATTCTATATAGGACCGATATTGGTTGTGAAGAATCTGCAAAATATGGGGCGCATCGGAAAATTCTATGTAGGGACAATATCGGAAAAATAACGAAACTTTGAACCCTTCTCATTGAACAATTATTGAACCAGGATTTATGACACAACTTGTTTTGCTGCTAGGATATATATGTTACGGTGAATGACCGAAGTGTCGAAAATGTCGGCATTCACCGGTGAATGTCACCATTCACGTAGTCGCTTGGTGTATGTCCGAAATATTTATTACATTCGATTTGATATGAATTTATTCGTGGATATAATTACATTTATTCGATATTTTAATACTTACTGACTATAGATCAGAAGAAACATCAGTGTTTGGAGTATCGGGCCATACATTTACATTTACCCGGTATACATTTGCTCGGTATATCCTACACTGATGTTTTTTTAAGGTTAAGTGCTCACTGCCCAGTATACCCTACACTGATGTTTTTTTAAGGTCAAGTGTCATTGCCCGGTATATATTTGCCAGATAATATTTCGGACTTGCAATTATTTCGGACATTCCCCAAAGCGACTATGTGATTGTTGACATACACCGGTGAGGGTCCGAATGTACAAGAATGTAATGAAATATTCGATCTTTCACCTACATATTTGGTGTTTGTCGACATTCACAGGTGAAAGTCCACAACCACCTATTTCGGTCATTCGCCGTAACACACACACACACACACACACACACACACACACACACACACACACACACACACACACACACACACGCACGCACGCACGCACGCACGCACAGAGAGAGAGAGAGAGAGAGAGATAATATATATATCCCCTTCTCTCCTTTTACTTTACTACTAAGCAATTTTCATACTTCAAAATTTATATTATTAAATAAACTTAAAAAGTGAAACATTAACAAAAAAATATAATGTTCATTCAAAAAACAAAACAAAAAACTTAAAAACAAAATTATTCTTTGAAAAAAGAAAGATGTTCAAAATGCAATTTTTTTTGTAGGGTTCGGTAGGTCCAAGAGGATCAGTAAATCCTTCAGGGCCCTCATTAAACGATTCAACAAAGCTTCCATTTTATTTCGTCGTATTCAAGGGACCCCAAGGTCCCCGAGGAGAGAGAGGAATACCAGGACCTCCGGTAAGTAGTATTACTTATTTATTTACTTATATATATTGAATATAATTGTAGCTATTCAGTGAACCCCAATTTTGTAAAAAAAACAACAACCTGTAAATTATAATTATCTACGCACAGCTGAACAATAGCCAGAGAGATTTTTTTCCTGGGTTATGGGTCACATTTCATTAGGTCTTCTGAATGATCCCAAAACTTTTACATTAGACCCCAAGATTAACACGTTCACGCCGGATTGTCTCATCTTGGCAGCGCACCGGAGTAAAAACTGGTAACAATAAATATCATTTTTTAGTTTTTTCTCAGGATTAATAAAAGTCCATAACTACCAATTGTTTTTAACGGATGCAATTTTTATATTGAATTGCTTCTTCGCCGTGATGAATTTCCTTACAGTGAATTGTTATTGTTGAGAATAGATTAACTCCTCCCGAATTTTATCTAATATTGAAATAGTTCTTCTACAAGTATTTTCTCTTTTCCCGTACCAGTATTTTCACTTTTCCCGGCGTGAGCGTGTTAATCTCAGATAAGACATGGATAAATTTTTGTCCCATATTTTTGTAATAGAATTTTGGGTCATGCGCGAAGTTTGTTCACATCTGAAATAGTCATCGCAGACGGTGGTGAAGCTTTCTTACGTAAGAGGTGATACCACTGTTCAATATCTTGCTTGCGCAGTGCTTTGTCATCAGTGGGCTAGGTGCCGTGGATTGGGAACTTTCTGGATTTAAAATGTCTGAATATTTAAAATATATAGGAATTTTTATGTCTTACAATTTAAAAATTTGTACATTATTAACAAATTAATTAATACTTATTATTTATTTTATCTACCATCTTTATTACATATTTATCTTTAGGCCGTGGATTTACAAATTTCTGTGAATGAGTAGCTTTAATATAATGAACCATTCAAAAGATTCGTTAGATTAAAACAAGAATAGAGTAATAAAACTTAGAACCTTTATAGCGGTTAAGCTATAAAAGCCAGCTTTTCAAAACTGTGCCTACTCCTTCTATCTTAGAGGTAAAAGAAAATCAAGATTTTATGAAAAAAGGTATTGTTTTTTCAGAAAAAATGAGATTTGATGGTCAAAATAAACATATCCTATCAAGGTTATAGTTAACTGTTATGCATATTTTAAGTAAAATATTTCTTCGAGATACTGCCAAAATAATTTTCAAAATGAAAATCTGATAAACTGTTCAATCTGAAAATATGATCAAAAGTTATAAGGGTGATCCGTTTTTCTTTCCTCCTTTACTGGTTGTACGTGTAAACGTTTATGCTAATGACTGCTCATTCACTTGATATTCCGGATTTCAGTTCTTTATTGTCAACTCGAAAAAAGACTTTTTATTGGGTTTCTTAACGATCAACATACACATGAATTAGTGTTTTTATATAAGTAGGTAGATAGATTTCCTCTCACTGAAATCTTCCAACACAAAATCATTTCCGACATTCTATGTCCTGAGTAACTTATATTTGACGTCATGTTATGTTTGACGTCAGAGGTACGCCGTCAGTGTCCGGTCCACATATACTGAATACTTTCTCGTCTCATTTTTGAGATGACATTGGACTGTGAGATTGAGTTGATTAATCAAAACTGAATACTCACAAGTGGCTAAAAATCGTATTCTCGGTGTAATTTTGTGATGTTTTTTTCGTGCTCGTTATACATTTAAGTTGTGACGTGATTTAGAAGTATTTTTTTATTTAATTATATAGGGTCCTTCCGGCAAAGAGGGGAGAGATGGTGCCCCTGGACTTCCTGGACGTCCAGTAAGTGATTTTTATATACTTTAAAATTAACTAATTTTATTATAATAGGTGTAAAATTGCTTTCAAGACTGTCATTTCCGTCTCTCAGTCCTCTGTGTCGTTTTTTTAATCAATTGAGCTTCCGGATACTGAAAATTCTAAAAAAGGGTCAAACCCAATCAAAAGTAGAAAACAATATTTTCTAAGCAAAGGCACGAAATATGTACCCATCATTAGCAATCAATTTTTTTAAGATGGAAAGTGAGCTCCATTTTTAAAAATTTTGAGTTTTTAACTCGGCACGCAATTAGACTATTGTGCTAAAATGAAGTGGGACATTCAAATGTTTTGAAATGAAATATTATCTTCGATTTTGGAAGGAAAAAAATGTTACCTCCATGGGCAAAGGAGTGCTTGAATGTTCATTCCCCATGTAAGGGAGATATATCCTCTGTGGCAAGTGCAAATTATGATTGAATGTCTTCGAATCATCCTCAGGGACGAATTCTAGACCATCGTCAAGCTTTAGTGTGACGTAAATAAAAGTTCCACTCCTGCTCCAAGAGTGTAGATACCCTCACCAAAAATTTAAGGTGCTAAGGTTGATTTGAGGTTTATTTGAAGTTGACTTCAAAAACAACCATAACACGTTGAACGCCACGCTAATTTTACATGACTTGCCCATCTGACCACTGTAAATAACTACAAACTAAATTGGCAAATATTAGACGGATTTTGTTGTTTATATAGATGGTTTTTCATAACATAACTAACAAAAGCGGTGATTTATATAAGACTA